GACTCTTGAAAATCGGTCGTTGAACTATCCACAGGCATTTTATAATGGCCGTAAATAGGCCTGGACTGAATAGCTCTCCAGGCATCGGCTTGAATGGTGTCCTTGACACTGTTATTATTATCCCCACGGAGGAAAAAAGGGAAAAAAGAAAGGGAAGGGAAGTCTGGGAGCCTCTCCACGCTGCAGTTGGTGTGTCTCTGGGCTGGAAGAGCCAAATCCCCCCCCGCTGGATCTGCACCCCTGGAGATGTGCTGGTTTTCACCTCCCAGAATTGCCATAAATTTCATGCAATTTCCTGCATAAAAAAAAAAAAAATCAATGAACTTGAGAAATTTTGCAAACTCTGGAGCAAATGAAGTACAAGAAGTTTAGGAGAATATATTTTCTGCCTTTTTGCCCCTTTGCCAGCCTAAATCTGTGGTTGCTTTCCATCAGGGAATGGCTTTTGTAACTTCCAAGCTGCTGTGCTCTGTGCTGAGGAGCAGCCCCAGTTTTGGGGTTGCTTTTCAGGGTGACCACTTGCAGCACCCCACCACATCACCACGGGGCAGCTCGAGGGGTTCCCAAACCCTTCTGGACCAGCAGACCTCCACCAAACCTGTCCCTCTCACCTTGGATCCTCTGGGACTGTGTCACCATGTGGAAAAGCTCGAGGTTAATCAGCAAGAACAATTTTCTCAGCTTAAATAGGCTGCTTTCATTTCTTGAAAGGCACTCTGATTTTTCCAGCCCCCTCACAAGGCAAAAATAGCGTGTCCCAGAAATGTCAGGGGCGTGTGGGTTCTCCTCATGGGGAAGGAGCACAGCCAGCAGCCGTGCCTCTGCTGGAGCAGCCTCGGGGCCCTGATGCTGTGCCAGCCTGTGGGCTGTGCTGCAAGTCACACAATTCCGGGTGGAAAAGCAGCTCAGAGCCCACCAGTGCCAGCTGTGCCATGGCAGGGACACCTCCCGCTTTCCCAGGCGCTCCAGCCCTGCCCCGCCTGGCCTGGGCACTGCCAGGGCAGCCACAGCTGTGCCAGGGCCTGCCCACCCTGCCAGCCAGGGTGTGCTGCTTATCCCCTCCCCTTCCCGTGGGGGCTCAAACAGAATGAACAAATCTGTGTTTTACCCCTTGGCTTGTGCTCAAACATGGCTCAGCCTGGGGCTGGACCCGATCCCTGCTGCAGCAAGGTCCCTGGGTGTGCTGGGGATCCCTGGGTGTGCTCGGGATGCCCTGGCTGCTTTTGTGTGCCCTGGGTGCCCTGGATGCCCTGGGTCCCTGGGCGTGCTCTCGGTGCCCTGGGTCCCTGTGCGTGCTCTGGGTGCCCTGGGTCCCTGCGTGTGCTTGGGACGCCCTGGGTGCTTTTGTGTGCGTGCCCTGGGTGCCCCGTGTCCCCAGCAGCTCCCCGGGTTTGTGTCCCAGCAGCTCCCCGGGTTTGTGTCCCAGCAGTCCCCCCCGGGTCTGGGTGCCCCTCCCGGCGCTGGCAGCGCTGCCGCCCTTCCCGGCACCGCGGCGCTAATTGCTCGGCTTCGTTAGGGAGCGACAGCCCCCCGAGCTCCCCGGGGGCTCCTCCGCCGCCTTTGCTGGAAGTGTTTCCTCCCCGGGCCGCGGCAGTTCCGCCTCGATCCATAATTGATGGCCGGGAGGGAGCGGAGCCTCCCTCCCCTCCCCAAATCCGGCTGGCAGCCCCCGCTGTCCCAGGCAGGGATTTCCAGCCCTGTCAGTCTCCTGGCCTGCCGGGAAACCCAAAATCCCCGACCCAAACTCTGTGTTTAATGCCCCCAGCCCACCCAGTGGTTACAGAATTCCCAGCTCCGGGCTCGGAGCAGCAACGAGCACTCGGAGGTTTTCATCGCCTCCCTCCTCCCCCGGCAGTGCAGGAGGACAGACAGAGCAGGCACGAAATGAATCCCACAAAACCACCGCTGACAGGTTTAAAAATCTATTTTCCTGCAAGGATCTACGGGAAGGACGGGTGATTAATGACGACTATGAAGAAAAGGTTTTATCCAGCAGATTAATTCCAACGGGTGTTTAAATTCTTAGCGGGGTCGGACAGGATGCTCCGAGGAGCAGCTGGGGGGGCTCCTGGGCACCTCCCCAGCAGGGCACGGCATTCCAGCCCTGGTGCCAAGGCTCCCCCCAGCAGTGCCCGCCTGTCCTTGTCCCTGTCCCCCTTCGGCTGCTCCGAGCAGTTTGGGTGGAATAATGCAATGCTTTACCAAAAAAGGGGAATATCTGTCACCCTCCACGTGTGTTTTCCCCTGCAGAGACAGCCAAGGAGAAGGAACCTGGTGTAGATGGAGGGTGACCACTTCCTCCAGTTTGGGAGAAAAAAGTATTTATTCTCTTTGAATCCCTCAGGACTCGGAGCTGGAAGGCACGACCTCCCACATCCCCCGGGGCAGCAGGCGGGCACAGAGGGCTGGCGGGGCCCAGCCAGCCCCTCCCTGCATCCCAGAAGTGCTGCCCAGGGAAGCTTTGCTGCCCTCTGCCCCTGCAGGAGCGCCCAGCTCCATCCTGGAGGAGGTGACTCCCTGCAGGGTCTGGCCTGGAAAGGACCTTCCAGCCCACCCCGTCCTGCCCCGGGCTGCTGGGACAGGCAGGTCTGGAGCTGCAGCTCTCCAGGTTCTGAGCCCCTGAGTGCCGTGTCCTCCTTCCCGTGGTGTGTCTGACAGGACTCCACTGGGGAGCCCTGTCCTCTGTGTGTCCCTGGCTGACATTTGAGCTTTCCAGCCCAAAGCCCCCCAGGAGTGTGTGCCCCAGCCCAAAGCCCCCCAGGACTGTGTGCCCCAGCCCAAAGCCCCCCAGGACTGTGTGCCCCCCTCCCAGAGCTCCGGGAGCAGGTGATGGCTCTGCACGACTGCCCTCCCTGCATCCCAGAAGTGCTGCCCAGGGAAGCTTTGCTGCCCTCTGCCCCTGCAGGAGCGCCCAGCTCCATCCTGGAGGAGGTGACTCCCTGCAGGGTCTGGCCTGGAAAGGACCTTCCAGCCCACCCCGTCCTGCCCCGGGCTGCTGGGACAGGCAGGTCTGGAGCTGCAGCTCTCCAGGTTCTGAGCCCCTGAGTGCCGTGTCCTCCTTCCCGTGGTGTGTCTGACAGGACTCCACTGGGGAGCCCTGTCCTCTGTGTGTCCCTGGCTGACATTTGAGCTTTCCAGCCCAAAGCCCCCCAGGAGTGTGTGCCCCAGCCCAAAGCCCCCCAGGACTGTGTGCCCCAGCCCAAAGCACCCCAGGAGTGTGTGCCCCAGCCCAAAGCACCCCAGCCCAAAGCACCCCAGGACTGTGTACCCCAGCCCAAAGCCCCCCAGGACTGTGTGCCCCAGCCCAAAGCACCCCAGGAGTGTGTGCCCCAGCCCAAAGCACCCCAGCCCAAAGCACCCCAGGACTGTGTACCCCAGCCCAAAGCCCCCCAGGACTGTGTGCCCCAGCCCAAAGCACCCCAGGACTGTGTGCCCCCCTCCCAGAGCTCCGGGAGCAGGTGATGGCTCTGCACGACTGACCCCTGCAGAAAATGGACACTGCACGGAGCAATCACAGCGGCGGCGGCTGCAGCTCTTCCCTTTCCCCGACAGGCCCTCCCCCGGGGCTGTGTGCCTGCCCCTGAAGCTTCCCCATTTTCCGAGGCAATGCCCTCGATGGGAGCTCATCTCTGAGCTCCCCTGGCATGCCCGGGGGGGCACGGCTGAATCCCCGAATCCAGGCACAGACTGGATTGGGGCTCTGCCTCCTTTCACTGCCATCCCCTCCAGCTCAGCGGGCATCCTCACCTGTGGCACACGGGCTGCTCTGCTCTCCTCAGGGAGACAGCAATGTCCCTGTGTCCGTGTGGAAAACCAGCCCAGGAGGGCCAAGGGAACCCCCCTGGCACCTGGCACCTTCCCACTCCCCCTCCTCCCCTCCTGCCTCTGCCTCCTCCCAGCAGCAGCCTCGCTGTGTGCTCCTGGAATAAAGTGCATTTTAACCCCTTTTCTCTTTGAATCCATTGGTTTATAAACAAATTGAACCTTGCAAGGTGTGCAGATTCCAGCATCAGTTTCCTTTCGCTGTGTTGTAAACTGTGAGTAGTTCTGCGGGAGTGAGTAAATGCCTGTTTAAGGTTATTTACATCAATAAATAAATATTTACCCCTTTTGAAGCATCTCCAGTCCTTTGCAAACAGGTTTCCAATTTACAAAAATCAATTAAAATCTGATATTAGAGTGCACCAGCCCACGGTGCTGTTCCCAGAGATGTCACTCAGCCTCCATTCCAAGCCCCACATCAGCATTCCAAAAGCTCTGCTGCTGAAAGAGCAGAAAGTTTCACCTTTTAATTTTTCATAGCGGATTAATTTTTAATTTTCAGACATCAGAGAGAGGGGGAAGTTCCCCAGGAGCCTCTCCCGCTTCAAAGCGCGCTGCAGGCAACCGCTGCACCGAGTGTCAATTTATCACACCGGAGGGAGGCTCCCGTCCACATTTCCCCTGATTTTTTCTTGTTGTTCAGACAAAAGTATGAATGCTGGGGAAGTTTCTAAAGGCTGGGAAGAGGCTGGAGAGCAGCGAAGCCTCCTGAGCAGCCGGGGCAGGAGCAGAGGGAGCACACCCTCCTCCACTCGGAGCCCGAAGTATTTCCCTGCTGGCTCCCAGATTGATGCTCCAAGGCTCTGGCTGCAGCTGGGGGAGAGGGGAGGATTCTGCAGGCCCCGTGCCCCCCTGGACCTCCTGCTCTGCCCAGGAACAGAGGCTGGACACACCCACGCGAGTTTGGAGACCGAGCAGGTAACTCCAGAGCATCCCACGGCACAGGGGCCTCCTGTGCCATGGCCCAAAGGCAGCGCCCAGCCCGGCTTCCAGCCCAACTGCTCTGAGCTCCTCCAGGGAGCCCGCCAGCCTGGCAGGGCTGGGGCTCCAGCTGCACAGGGACAAGGCAGGATCCTTCCTAGCCAAAGCATTCTGCTCCCATCCCAAAGGAAATGGAGATTTGGCAGTGACAGACTGCTGAAGAGTGGGCAAAGACCACGGACAGCCGTGCGAGGCAACGCGTTTCAGCCCAGGTTTATTCCACGAGCATATTTACACCGGGAGTTTGAACCCACAGAGGGGGCAGCAGCTGTGTGGAGAGGCAGACACTGGAACACCACAGGGTGACTCCCTGTCCCCTGTCACCCAGGGCACCCCCAGGACACGGGGAGCTGGCAGCAGCAGGGTGGCACGGGCAGCAGCCCTGGCACAGCACACAGACACAGAGCTCCCGGGCTGCAAACCCCACCCGGGCACCACACAGATAACCCCAAGCACAGTAAAAGACTTTTCATGTCTCTTTTGGAGCCAGGTGAGAAATGAATCCCTTCATTTGGGGAACAAGTACCATTTTTAGCTTAGCAGGCAGTGCCAGCCTCAGGTCCGAGCTCTGCGGCCAAGGAAAAGCTGCACAAACAGAGATACTGAAATAAAAGGATTGGAGAGATTTTCTCTCTTTCCCATGAGCAGAAACCAGACAATTTCACACAAAATATTCCACAAAATCAGATATGTAAGAAGGAAACACAGTCACAGCGAGTGTCACACAGGAATATTCCTACTGAAGGAAATATTTCAGTACATCCAGTCAACAATTCATTTTTTTCCATAATTTTGATCCTTTCTCCATTCAAAATGGCCCCCTTTGTCCTTTATTTAAATAAATACCTGCACCGGTGGCAAAAACCACCTTTCTACATAAATACTTTTTTTTTTCCCCCCAAGCCTGCCATTTAACAGCATTTTTAAATTATTTATTTACATGTGGATTATTTTTCCTTCCGGCCTGGCCACGGCAGCACATCCAACCCCTTCAGACAGCAGCTCAGCACAGGCCCCAGACCCCATCCCCAAGTGGTCACCATGTAAACACTGTTTGGTAAAAGCCTTTTTGGTAAACACTGCCACTGCCGAGGGATCGGGGTGGGTGCCATGCAGGGGACCCTGGGGAGCTGCAGGGCCAGACCCTGGCTGTGCCATGGCCATGAAGGGGTGCAGGGCCAGACCCTGGCTGTGCCATGGCCATGAAGGGGTGCAGGGACAGACCATGAAGCGGTGCTCCTTGCCCTCGTGGCCAGGAGGACGCTGTCCCTAGACCATGAAGCGGTGCTCCTTGCCGTCGTGGCCAGGAGGACGCTGTCCCTAGACCATGAAGCGGTGCTCCTTGCCCTCGTGGCCAGGAGGACGCTGTCCCTAGACCATGAAGCGGTGCTCCTTGCCGTCGTGGGCCATGAGGATGATGTTGCGGTTGGAGGTCCAGATGAGGCGCGCCAGGCGCAGCGCGGTGTGCGAGCCCGGCGAGGCCGGCTGCACCGGCGGCACCTGGAAGGTCTTGACGCAGCGCAGCTGCGGGGCCGAGTTGAGCATGCCGATGCTGCCCAGCAGGGAGGTGTTCATCTGCGGGGACAGCCTGCCTGAGCCCGGCTCCGGGGCTCTGCAGCTCCCAGAGAGAGACCCAGCAGGACCACCAGGGTGGGAAGGGACCCCGGAGCTCGACCCGGCCTCGGGTCTGCATGCCCCCACATGGGTTCCGTCCCTGGCAATCCCTGGGGTGGTTCATTCCCACTGCCGTGTCCTGAATCCCGAGCAGCGCCCGCTCCCAGCCAGCCTTGCCCCGGGTGTAAATCACGGCACCCGCTGACATTTCCACAATTTAAATCATCGTGAGTAATAACCCTTTTAGGATGACTAATGCTCCTGATTTTCCTGCATTAATAATGGTGCCAAGCGGGACACGGAAGGGAAAAATCACAGCGCACGAGGTCACATTTGAGAAGCACACACGGGGTGTTTAACCCCTCGTGTTTGGGCTGCGATTTTAAGGATCAGCTGATTCCATGCCCTGCCCTGGGCAGGGTCACCTTCCAGGGGCAGGGTCACCTTCCAGGGGCAGGGTCACCTCCCGCCAGTCCAGGCTGCCCCAAGCCCAGTGTGACCTTCCCTCCCCTGGGATTTTCCCCCTGCTGGAGCCATTCAATGCATGAAGAGAAGGGATAAAATGAAATCCCCCCCGAGGTGGTGGCACACAGGAGGAGGAGGAGGAGGAGGAGGGTGTCCTCACCTGCCAGAAGCACAGGTGGCTGTCCGAGTTGGAGTAGGTGGCCAGGTAGCGGCCGTCGGGGGCGAAGGCCACGGCCGTGATGGGTCCCTTGTGGCCGTGGATGGTCTGGGAACAGCACACACAACAGCAGTGAGGGGCAGGCCGCCCCAGAGAGCTCCTCTCCCCCAGCAGCACCCCAAAAAGGCCCCAAAAACCCAAGTTCTCCTGGAACACCCCACCCCACCGGATCAGCACCAGCAGAACCCCACCAGCAGCTCCCGTGCCCATCCCCGGGTGTGCACCTGGAATGAGCCTGACACATTAAGAACCCATTAAGGTATTAATTTATTCCTGGTGGAAAAGGTGAGTGAACCCCAAATGTCTCTGTTTAATGGGATCCCCACAGTTAATTAGCTGGTGCCACAGTTAGCCCCATCCCGCTCTTTAGCACTTAACAAGCACGGAACACTTGTCAATAAAAGATGTTTTGGTGAGACAAAGGTCGAAATCAATAGGAGCAGCACACTTGTTGCTCTTTTTTACTCCTGGAATCCGTTCCAAGAAGCACAAATCCTTGAGGGAATCCAGCTGCTTTGCTATTTAAAGGAAGTGCTTCTCTAATTGATGCTAATCCTCCCCAGGCAGGATTTCTGTGCTCTTAGCAAAGGCAGATCAGCGCAGGTGCTCGGGCACACAGGGTGGACACCAGCTTGGAAACGTCCTCACTGCCCCCAAGGATGGGGCAGCTGCTCCCAGCTCCCCTCTGCGAGGGCTGAAGGGGAAGGGCACCTGCCCCTCACCCCATCACCCCATCACCCCACAGCCCAATTCCCGGCCCAGAGCTGGGGACGGTCTCCACTGAACTGCACGTGCCCCTAAAGGTGAGGTAAAAACCCACTCTGGATCAGTTTTGTATCAGTAAGTGCAGCAAAACGCCACATTTCCAAAGAAATCCCCGTGTTTGAAGCAATGCAAGGGAAAGCTCTGCAAACCCACGCCGGTTCCAGCAGCTCTCATCATCTGATAGAATGAATAAATCGATGGAAATCCCTCCCTGTGCTATCTGGCCCATCCAGCTGAGGCTGCACTCAGGAACTGCCTTTTCTCTGGGATTTCGGGGGGTGCTTTCCAGGGACAGCTCTGCTGCAAGTGCAGGTGTGGGCGGCAGGGTTTTAAAGCCCTGCTTTCCGGAGCAGCATCTTCTCCTCTGTCATTAATTAAGCCAGGCCACGATTCATTCCAAATGGAATATTAAATCCTTCTCTGCCTTCCACATAAATCAAACTTTGCCAAGGCATCAGGACTGAAATAAAATCAGCCCTGCACAATCCAATTAATGCTGGGATTGCTGGGATTTTAATTCTGGAAGGACCCAGGACCAAACATTATTGATTCCAGCCCAGGCTTAAAAGTAGTTTTTCCTTTGAAATAAACCCAAAATAACTTATGTTTCTCTTTAATCTTCCGGTGCAAATGACCCAGGTTTTAGGTACAAAAATTACATGTATTTCTGAAATGCAGCTCTAAATATTTATGATGAATCCCAAGATTTAATCAATAAAAATGGAATATTTCAGTCTCCCCTTATAGACCCAAATATGGTCGTAAAGGAGAAGAAGATAATTAAAGAACCTGTACTGAGGAATTAATTGGGGGATTTTGGGCCAGACTCGGGTACTCAGCAAGAATTTACCTGGGAAAAGATTAATATTTTCCCATCAACTATCAGGTATCCTAAAATTCATTATCATTATTATTCATTATCATTATTATTATTATTCATTATCATATTCCTAAAATAACCTGCCATCTCTCTGTCCAGTCTCATTTTAGTGTTTAATCTGATATAAAATAGCATTTATAGCATCAGTATTTTCCCGTGTTACTGCACCTTTAAGTGCAGGATTTTTACCTGTGTGTTCATAATTAGGAATCTTATGCAAAATATCAATAATTTGGTTGGAATGTAATATTATCTTAAGTGTTTAATTGGGCAAACAGATCTTGTGCTCAACGATACCTTAATCCTGTTGCCTAATCCTTTGACATTGCTATGAATTATTGTTGTAAGCGTTACTCCAAGGGTTGATTTTGGGATAAAAATTGCCATTTGTGCCTAATCCGGGCCGCGGCCGTGGGGCTCGGGGCTGGGCAAACAAAGGGCACACTTCCAGGTGGAGCTGCTGCTCTCAGAACGTTTCCAATTCCCCGAGAAGCATCAATTATCTTTATCAAATCCCAGATCTCATCTCAGCCCCATCAAGACGCAGGACTGCCAGAGCCGGGAGAAGCTGGGAAGGAGGAAGGAGGGGATCAATAGCCATCATGGGATTGTGAGGGAAGCTCTGCCTTCTTTTTGGGGAGCTGCTGGGTTTGACCTCTGCCTCACCTGGGACAGGAGTGCCGCACAACCTGCTTTAATCTTTAAGTTTTACATTTTTAAAATAAAATCACAGAGCCACCCAGGGAATGGCCCTGGGGATGGAGCTGAGAACGGGCACGGCCCTGGAGCCTGGCTGGGAGAGCCACGCTCAGCCCAGGGACAGGGACAGGGATGGGACAGGGATGGGACAGGGACAGGGAAAGGCAGCCGTGATTTGGCTGTCCAATGGCAGGCAGTGCCCCAGGGTAAAACACCAGGATAAAATCATACATGAACCTTGTGGGGCACCTGGAGCCCCCCTGGGTGAGGGCACTGCCAGGGGCTGCTCCATCCAGCGGGGAGAGCCTGGCCCACAGCCCTGAGCCCCTGCACCCCAAAGAACCTGCCATAAACCCACTGCTGCCCCAGCCGGGAAAGCTTGGCACGGATTCCACAGCAAACACCACTGCCAGCTGTTCCCAAAACTGGAATGGAGTTCAGCCAGTTCTGAGGAATTCTGAGCTTCAGAATGGAACCCCTGTCATGTCTGAGGGGGAACGGGTGAGGGGAACATGGAGGGGAATGTGTGAGGGGAACATGGAGGGGAATGAGTGAGGGGAACATGGAGGGGAATGTGTGAGGGGAACATGGAGGGGAATGAGTGAGGGGAACATGGAGGGGAATGTGTGAGGGGAACATGGAGGGGAATGAGTGAGGGGAACATGGAGGGGAATGTGTGAGGGGAACATGGAGGGGAATGTGTGAGGGGAACATGGAGGGGAATGTGTGAGGGGAACATGGAGGGGAATGTGTGAGGGGAACATGGAGGGGAATGTGTGAGGGGAACATGGAGGGGAATGTGTGAGGGGAAGATAGAGGTGAATGTGTGAGGGAAATATGGAGCGGGAATGTGTGAGGGGAAATTTGGAGCAGGAATGTGTGAGGGGGAATGTGAGAGGAAACATGGAAGAGCAATGAGTGAGGGCAAATATGGAGGGGGAATATGTGAGGGGAAATATGGAGGGGAATGAGTGAGGGGAAATATGAGGAAGCAATGAGTGAGGGCGAATATGGAGCGGGAATGTGTGAGGGGGAATGTGTGAGGGGAAATATGGAGGAGGAATGAGTGGGGGAGAATATGGAGAGGGAATATGTGAGGGGAAATAGGTGAGGGGGAATATGGAGGGGGAATATGGAGAGGGAATATGAGCGGGAATATGAGGAAGAATATGGAGGGGGAATGAGTGGGGGAGAATATGGAGAGGGAATACGTGAGGGGGAATATGGAGGAGGAATACGCAGGGGGAATATGGAGCAGGAATGTGTGAGGGGGAATGTATGAGGAGGAATATGGAGGGGAATATGGAGGGCTGCTGCTGCTGCTGTGTGGGACAGCACGTGAGCACAGGGATTCTCCTCGGAACGGGGACAGAAGCCGTGGCTGAGGACGGCTGGCTCCCGGAGGCAGGGAGCAGGGCATTTATTGGGGTGCCATGGAGACGGGTGAGCAGCCGAGGGCAGCGAGCGGCTGGGGTCAGCAGCTCTGCTGTGGGAGCCATCAGCAGCCGGCCCTGCTGGGCACACATCAGTCCCAGCACGGCGAGGGCACTGCCAGCCCCAGCAGCCCCACGGAGCCACATCACAACAGCAGCAGCACCCGAGAGGGTTAACGGGTCATGTCATAGCCGAGGAGAGAGAACCTGCTTTTGATGTGGAGCTACCGAGAAAGAGATTCAGTGTTTGCATTTGGAATAGTCTGAATACAGTCTACTAACAGTAAATTTTACTGAGGGGAAAGCCCATCCTAGACAAATGCTGGTTTAGTTTTTATTAAAAAAGTGATTTTTGACATCCGTCATCCTATTGATCACTCCAAGTAATTCCTCAGTCAGTTCCTACAACCACCTTTCTCAAAAAAATTAAAATTACCTGGAAGGGGGAAAAAAACCAAACCCAAAATGCTTTTCAGGATCCCAAAACCCCTCACAGGATAGGAAATAAAACACCTGAGCTTTTCTCTGATGGCACAGCTTTTTCAGCTGCACCGTCCTAAAGTTATTTCATGTTTTTGAGCAGCCAGAAAAATCTGCAGTTGTGAGAAATTACGTATAAAATCAGACTTGGAGGCAGGAACCTGTATCCAATAGATGGTACTGCCCCATAGTAATTGATCTGGAAAACTTCTGTATCTCGTGAATAATAATTAAACCTGAAAAGGACCTAATTATCCTGGGAGTCCCTTTGGTCACCTGCAGCTGTATTTTCCATGGTTAATGTGGAAGATTATTTAGAAAAGTAAGGAACTTCTGAACATAGCCCAGCACAGAGTAACTAACTCCAAATTTCAGGGGACTGTCAGCCCAGGAGAGACAACCCTGAGGTGAAGCCGGTGGCAGCCGCGCAGTGCCAGGGAGCGCGGCCAGCAGCGCTCCTCGACTGAGCTGCTGATCCCTGGTGCTATCCTGGGCACCCAGCAGCAGCAGCGATGCCCCAGCCCCTGCTCACCTGGCACTTGCCCGTGCGGATGTCGTAGAGGGCCACGGAGCCGTGGCGCGCGCCCACGGCGACGCGGTGGCTGCGCTCGTAGTAGCTCACCATGTAGAACCTGGGGGCAGCACAGCGGGCAGTGAGGCTGGCACGGCCGGCTCAGAGCGGGTTTACAGCCCTGCTCGCTGCCCGCGGAACACCTGGCACTCCACACAAACAGCTGAGGGTGGGTGTGATCCATGGAACCTGAGCGGATTTGTCCAGCAGGTTTATTTATGGCATGGGGGTACCCTCCCTGTGCTGGAACAGCTCAGTAAAGCTGGTTAGGTGCCCATCCAACACCCTGCGTGACTGAGGGCATTTCCCCGTGGAAATCAGACAGAAAGGAAGGGAAGTGGAAGGAGAAATAAGCAAACTCATCAATTTTTGATGGGCGTAAAGAAAGAGGGAAATTCGCCATCACACACTCCAATAACACCCTCGAGGTAAAGGCTACAATAGTCCTGAACACCCAGGGTGACCATATGGGATTCCAACAGCTGCAAAATCCCAGGAATTTCAACACTTTGAAAGCCAAAGACACTAAATCCTAACTGCAAACTCAAATCCTTGGGGATATCACTGTGCCTCATCACAGGAGAGCAGACCTGTGGAAGCGCCAGCTGCATTCTGAATGACGTTGGAATTTTGCAGCTAGATTTTCCTCTGCCAAAATGCACCAGAAGAAACACCTGGAATCAGTCTCAAACAGTATTGCTGAGCATGTTTAGGGCTCCAAAGAAGCCATCCTTCAGCCTTCTCTCCAGGTTCCTGGGGATTCCCAGTGCCACAGCAGCTGCTCGCACGCAGGTACGAGACATGCATGGATGGCAGCTGGGAGGAAAAGCAGGATGGAACAGGGGGAGAAACCAATAAAGAACAGAAGGGAAGGAGGAAAAGCCCCAGATTTTGTGCAGGGAAAAGGGAAACACAGCTCAGCTGCAGCTTGGCAGGGTGGGTGTCCCTCCCTGAGGCGCTGACCGTCCTTCCCTCAGCCTGCTCTTCCCGTGGTCCAAGGGTTTGGCCTCATGTGCACAGGTCCAGGGCAGCCCTGGGAACACTGGGAACACTGGGACACACAGTGGGGTGTCCCCAGAGATCTCCCCATCTGCTCTGGCCTGGTGGCAATTCCCCTCGGGCCCTGCTGGTGCTGGATCATTTTTACACTGGCTATAACCAGGAAATATTACCAGCAATTGCAGAGAATTTTAAACTCCTGGACTGCTATAAATATACACAGGAATAGGGAGATGGGGCACCAATTCCCATTTATCCTTGCCTTTATGTTTTAAGGAAAGCCACTTAAAGCAGCAGGAAGGAGGAAGATCATCTCCATCAGTATCCAGCCTGGCAATAGGATAATTGTTCTTTCCATGAAACTATTCAATATTTTAATAGGTTATTAAATTAAAATGTAATGGCTGACAGGTGATTATTACAATTTATTGGCTGGACCAGTTTAAGAGGATGACTGGGATATTTATTCACATTTAAAGATACTGGAAATGTCCCCATTTATAAATCACCTTTCACTCTTTGTTGTGTCACCTAAAAGACTTTCACCCTTAATTAGGAAATACATCCTGCTGGTGATCCTATCATTTACTTCACAGGATCCCCAGAGGAAGAGCTCACCTGCAGATGGCTGGAAAACATTCCTGAAGACCCTTTTTCTTAACCAAAGATCCTTCCAGGCAGTACATGATGATGTCCATCACCTTGAGAACAAAAATCACCATCAGTTGACAATCTGTGTGTATGCTCTATAATTCAAGCTGTGAAGGTCATCCCATTCCAAGCCCTGCACTTTCCAGCAGATCAGGTTGGCCCAAGCTGCGTCCCACCCGGCTTTGATGCTTGGGATGTTTTTCCCAACAGCACGATTTATTTAATGCAATTTAGAGTGTAAGAAATTGATATTTCTCCCCTCCCAAAGCCCACAGGGAAGCTCCTGAGCAGAGGCAGCAGCTCAGGCCTCACCTCCACCAGCAGGTCCACCACGTCGGCGGGCATCTTGTCGATGAGGATCTCGATGACGCGCAGGATCTCGCCCTTGGCGCGGGCCAGCGTGCTGGTGTGGATGTTCTGCTGCGACTGCGTGTTGGCCGCCAGCGCCGTGTGCCTGTGCACCTGGGGGGCAGGGGCTGGCTGGGGAGAGGCTGGGGGGCAGCCAGGCTGGGCCTGGAGCCAGCAGTGCCTCGAGGTCAGCTGAGCCCCTGGAGCCAGCACTGTCTCTGACCCCTGCACCCAGCACCACCGAGCCCCTGGAGCCAGCACTGCCACCAGGTCAGGTGAGCCCCTGGAGCCAGCATTGCCACCAGGGCACCACCGAGCCCCTGGAGTCAGCACTGCTGAGCCCCTGGAGCCAGCACTGCTGAGCCCTGAACCCAGCACTGCTGAGCCCCTGCACCCCGCACACCTCCCGGGCACTGCTGACCCCTGAACCCAGCACTGCATCAGGGGGCACCTCTGAGCCCCTGCACCCCGCACACCTCCCGGGCACCGCTGGGCCCTGCACCCCGCACACCTCCCGGGCACCGCTGGGCCCTGCACCCCGCACACCTCCCGGGCACCGCTGGGCCCTGCACCCCGCACACCTCCCGGGCACCGCTGGGCCCTGCACCCCGCACACCTCCCGGGCACCGCTGGGCCCTGCACCCCGCACACCTCCCGGGCACCGCTGGGCCCTGCACCCCGCACACCTCCCGGGCACCGCTGGGCCCTGCACCCCGCACACCTCCCGGGCACCGCTGGGCCCTGCACCCCGCACACCTCCCGGGCACCGCTGGGCCCTGCACCCCGCACACCTCCCGGGCACCGCTGGGCCCTGCACCCCGCACACCTCCCGGGCACCGCTGGGCCCTGCACCCCGCACACCTCCCGGGCACCGCTGGGCCCTGCACCCCGCACACCTCCCGGGCACCGCTGGGCCCTGCACCCCGCACACCTCCCGGGCACCGCTGGGCCCTGCACCCCGCACACCTCCCGGGCACCGCTGGGCCCTGCACCCCGCACACCTCCCGGGCACCGCTGGGCCCTGCACCCCGCACACCTCCCGGGCACCGCTGGGCCCTGCACCCCGCACACCTCCCGGGCACCGCTGGGCCCTGCACCCCGCACACCTCCCGGGCACTGCTGAGCCCTGCACCCTGCACACCTCCCGGGCACCTCTGAGCCCCTGCCCCCCGCACACCTCCCGGGCCCCGGCGGGCCCCGTCCCCCGGCTCAGCCGGGGCCATGCCCGCCCCGCCGGCCCGGGAAGAGCTCCCGAGCGGCCGGGCGGGCTCTCACCTCCTTGGCGATGGTGGTGATGAAGGCGGGCGGGCGGGCCGTGGCGATGAGCGACAGCGCGTGGCGAGCCGAGCGCGCCGAGTCGGCCGCCGGGCTCAGGGGCAGCCCCATTGTGATGCTAAACGGGAGGCACACAAAGGCAGGCACAAAGGCGAGCGGCGTTAGAAATACAGAGTGAAAAGATTAGAACCAGCTTATAATGTCACTTCAAGGTCACCGGGAGCACTCCGGCAGTTCCAATATAATGGACTCCCAACAAAGAGCAGTGATTAGGAGTCAGGGTGTTCCAGCATCAACCCCAAATCGAATAATTAACCATGAAGATTGAAAACAGTAAGTGCATCTGTCCAAAGTGGGCAAAAGGCCTTGTTAACAAATTATCTGTATGTGCTGAATACATATCACCCCACGGAGGCCCGGAGCGTCCTGCCAAGGATTTATGGGCTGGGCTTTTACAGTATTTTAAACACAGCCGGAAAAATCCCCTGGCCAGGGTAATTCTCCTTAATTCAAGGCTTTTACTTGCTGTGACAAGATAAAAGCAAAAAGCAATAAGGTGCTAAGTACCCAGTAAATGCAAAAATAAAATTTCTACGTGCCCTGCACATTATCCAAAAATGTGCAAAATGGAATCACAGGCTGGTTTGGGTTGGAAGGGGTTTTAAGGGTAAGCTGTTCCACCCCCTGCCATGGGCAGGGACACCTTCCACTCTCCCAGACTGCTCCCAGCCCCGTCCAACCCGGCCCTGAACACTTCCAGGGATGGGGCAGCCACATATTTTTCTGGATCACCTGTGGAAGGGGTTCCTCCTTCTTCCCCGTGCTCTCTGGCTGATATTTTGGGAAGAGAACAGCAGGAGTTTATAATCCCAACCAGTTCATTTTCCTTCCCCATCACTGTGCAAATTAAAACTCCCAAACGTGAAACTAAGTAAAGCCTCTCTCCCTTTCTGAAGTGTCACGCCAGCAGTGTTTTCCCCTACAGATGCTTGGCAAAGTGTGCATTTCCCTGGAAAGCAAGAGGCTTTCAGTGAATTCCTTCCTGGGAGGATGTGACAGGGAGGGGAGAGCCAGCCCTGCCAGGACAACAGCACCCAGACCATCCCAGCCCACCTTCCACCAGGCCAGAGTGCTCCAAGGCACAGACAGAAATGCAAGGATTACCCTCAAGTGATTTGCTCATCTGGCTGTGGCTGCCCCATCCCTGGAATTGTTCCAGACCAGGCTGGATGGGACTCCTGGACAATGGAAGGTGTCCCAGTCCATGGCAGGGGGGCAATGGGATGATCCTAAAACACCCCCAACCCAAACCTCTCCCTGAAAATCTGTGTGCAGCTTAACTCAGAAAGCAAAAACACAGCCAAAAATGATTGCTATCATCGTCCCAGCCAAGACATCAAAGCCTCAGAATGCTGGGAAAACACTCTTGATCCTCACAAGTGAGCAGCTTCCCTTGGCACTTCGGGAGCCAGGACGAGCCAAGGAGTTCCAAGCACCCGAGTTGTGCCTAACAGCTCGGATAGTCCCTTGATTCAGCAGGGAAAAAAGAAACCCACTCGTTTTCCTGGTCAATAAATGTGATTTCTCCTTTTCTATCTAAAAGCAGAAGCTTGACATAAAAGCTCTTTAATAAAACCTGGGGGAGAGGCTCTGGCAGCTGTGTGCCGTTATTGTGTCCACGGCAAAGCCGGCACAAAGCGGGAGCTCAGCGGGGCTCCGGCAGGGTGAGAGCCACACTTAACCCCTGCACACATTGCTGCTCCATTTCTTTCCATCTCCCTCCACCCTGGATCTGTCAGCAATGTACCAGGCCGTTTTCAATCTAAATCTTGTTATGGATTAATAAGCGAACGCTTTCGCGCTTATTATGCAATTTATCATGAGGAAAATTGCGCCGGGCTCCTCAAGGCTCCACGCTGATCCCTTCATTTGTTCCCTGCTCTTTGGAGGGAGAGCCAGACTAATCTTCCTGACAGCTAAGGGTGGAATCACACGAGCAGAAGGACTCGCTGAAGAGCCGTGCTCACTTGGATGCTGGAAGTCAGGATTTACATAAAACGGGGCTTAGGAGGGGCTTTGGGGAGGGACAAGGTGCTGCTGCCTCCTGTCACACTACAGGGCAGAACTGCAACTCACACAAAAAACAATGGTAATCCAATTTGTCCAACACAGCGCGAGGATTCGTTCTTTGTACCTTGAGGAAATTAAAACTCATATGAAATGGGTAACGTCTACCTTAGAATAACGTCAGAAGTGACTGACCTCCTCAGGAGTGATGGATGTGGAAAGGTGCCATTCAAATTCTGTGCTTGCCAACAAATGTTTCATGGAATCGTGGCAAGGTGTGGGTTGAAAGGAACCCTAGGGATGCCTCATGCTTTGTCCAGCCTGGCCCTGGACACTGCTGATGGGGCAGCCACAGTTCCTCTGGGAATCCCACTCCTCCCTTTCCAGCACCCAGCTATCCCTGCCCTCCACCCCAGGGCCGCTCCGCGCCCCTCTCCCTCGTCCCCCCGCCAGGGCTGGCACGGCCGTGGCACCCACTTGGCCAGCTGCTTCTCGGCGTCGGCGCAGAGCTCCAGCAGCCCCATGAGCACGGCCGACACGTCCATGTAGGGCTCCCAGACGGTGAAGCCGCGGCCGATGAGGTCGATGGCGGTGCGGCGCACGGTGCTGTGCGCCGGCAGCCGCGCGCTGGGCGGCTGCAGCAGCAGGAACGTCAGCGCCTTGCCTGGGGGACAGTGACAGCAGCTGCCACGGGGTCCCACACGCCCCCAGGGCCACCCCTGCCCCCTGCCCAGAGCCACCCAACCCGCCCCAGCGCGCCTGTGCCTCGCTGGTCCCAGATCTGCACAGCAAGTGCAGTCTGGGGGGAAACGGAAGTGGACATGCCTGAGTATCTCTGAGGCCTAAAGGGAGAGAAACACCCCAAATGACTTCACCAATCCTGACCCCCCATGCAGGGTCTGCACATTTCAGAAATGCTTATGAATATTGTATTTAACAGTTTAAATGCAAGCAATTGCACGTAAGTGGAGGAGGGCTGAGGCAAGCGGCCCGCCGTAATTTATTGTTATCTCCCCATCGTTATTTATTGCCCCTCAATACTGCTTCTTGTGGTAAAGATAATTGCTGATTTTATCGGGTTCTGCTTCAACTGTCCTCAACAAGTTGCTTGTTTTGTTTATTAAACAAGCCTCCTGCTGTTTGCAGGACTGAGTTTTTCCAGTTGATTCACACCAACCAACCCCGATCTGGGAGAAGCAGCCCCCAAAATTCCTTCCTGTCACCTGCCTGTGACCCAGACCCTTTTAAAAGGTGCCCCCTCAGGCAGTGCTGCCCTGCGATGCCCCCGTGCCCTCAGCAGCTGCAGCTGGCACCAGCACAGCAGCCCTGACCCGAAGGTGCCAGGGCTGCCCAGCTTTGTTTAAAGCTCTGCCCGGCTCCAGCGAAGGAATGAATATTGACAAAAACATCCCACGCTAATGAGCTGTTCGTTAGGGCAATAAACATGTCACATTAGAGTCGGGCAGACGAGGTAATTAGCCCTGGAAAGGCTCACACAGCACGGCCAGACCCCGGACGTGCTGCTGCCCTTTGGTGCTCACACAAAAATGCTGTGGTGGGACAACTCCTCAGGCAGCCAGGGAATGCCATGCCCACCCCAAGTGGTATTAAAGCAGAATTTCATTCCAGGTGTTTCATTCTGCACTGGCACATTTGCTCCTTCCGTCACTTTATGAACCCAAATGCTAATATTTATCACTTATTGTCACTGCACAGAAGCCCCTGCATTCCCACAATGTCTTGCCTTGCTGTGGAATCTCTCTGAGCACACGGCTCCAGGCAGCCTTGTTATCCCCAGTTTGCCAATGGATTTTAAAAATGAAATTATTTGCTCGGGAAAATCAATAGCCCAGGCAGGAACGAGACACTGAGAACTCTGATCAAGATCCAGCTAAACCCAAATGATGGACTCCACGAATAGGATTTAACTTGATTGTGACCCTTTCTAGATGATTTTTTTCCCTGATTACCCAGAGAGACACAGAAATTTGGAGAGCTGGGTTAAAATTCCTTTCTGCTCCTGGCCCAGTGGCCAGGATTTTCACTCCACATCTTCTCTCAGCTATCAAACCAAGATATTTTCAGGCCTAAATTAAAAATCACTTCTTTTTTGCATCGTGATGATCAGATTTTTTTTTCCCCAGTTACAATCGGCTCCCATCTGGAACTGCCCCAGGCCAGGCTGGACAAGCTTGGAGCACGCTGGGCCAGCAGCAGCCCCATCCCAGCCGCCCAGGCTGCTCCTTCCCAGGAAAGGGACCGCAGCGAGGCAGCAGAGGTACTCACACGTGTGCCTGGCCAGGGAGTAGTTGGAGCCGGCGCTGGTGAGGCCGAAGCCCTCGGGGATCTGGCTGGAGCTGCGCGGCCGCGTCAGCAGCTTGGGCGGCTCGATCTCGGCGCCGAACTCGGCGCCGATGACGCCCAGCAGCACGATGGCCGTGGCCTGCTTGCGCCGCTCCTCGTAGGACGTGGACACCTTCTTGGGCTGGGCCAGCCCCGCCAGGCAGCCTGCAGGAGAGCCCAGAGCTCTGTCAGTGATGGGACGGCAAATGAACCTCGGCGGCGCCGGCGGCGGCGCGGCACTGACGGCGCTGACCGCGTCCTTGGGGACACCGCGGTGTCCAGGGGTGGACAGGATGCCATTCACCTCTAAAACCTCAAAAAAAGTCAAATATTCCTTGAAAACCTGCCAAGAACCTGCCAAGAACCTGCCAAGAAGATCACCAATGTTCTTCTTCCTTCAAAACCTGCCAAGAACATCACCAACTGCCAATGGCATCAATGGCGCTGACCGCGTCCTTGGGGACACCGGGGTGTCCACGGGTGGACAGGATGCCATTCACCTCTAAAACCTCAAAAAAAGTCAAATATCCCTTCAAAACCTGCCAAGAGCATTGCCAGTGTTCTTCTTCTTCCTTCAAAACCTGCCAAGAACCTGGCAAAAACAGTGTCAATTGCCAATGGCATCAATGGCATCAACGGCGCCGACCGCGTCCTTGGGAACACCACGGCTTCCAGGCATGGACGGGATTTCATTCACCCCTAAAAACCTCAAAAAAAGTCAAAATATCCCTTCAAAATCTGCCAAGAACCTGCCAAGAACCTGCCAAGAACATCACCAATTGCCAATGGCATTGTGGCATCAACGGCATCAACCACATCCTTGGGGACACCGCGGTGTCCAGGCATGGACAGGTTGCCATTCACCTCTAAAACCTCAAAAAAAGTCAAATATCCCTTCAAAACCTGCCAAGAACTCATGGGGAAAAAAAGCCACCCTAATTTCCAGGTTTGTTTGCTCAGTGACAGCAGATCCATGGAATTCCATGTTTACCTATGGATTTCTGGGTTGCTTCTCACTCACTTTAAATTGACAGGTTAAATTTTTATTGTTTTTAAAAGATTTTTTTTTCAGCATAAGCTCTTTGCATTTTGATATAGGATCCATCACCACTTCCTATTAAATGTTAGGATATTTAAATCTATTGGATTAACGAGGGGTGGATTAATGAAGCGCAGGGGGTGTCTCTGTTAATGACACCCACGGGGCTCCACAGCAAAAAAAAGGAATTTAACCAAATTTTAGGAGCCGTGGCCAGGCAACCCCGCCAGCCAAAAGGGAGAGAAAAACAGGAGAAAGCTGAACAATGGGAAGGGAGGGGAAAAAAAAAGGGAAAAAATCGATAGCAACTGCCTTTGGAGGAAGCAGGATGCACAGGGGCTGGAACAAAGCAGGGCAGAGCAGCTGGAGGTGGCCAGGAGCCGTTTGTGTGACATGCCAGCCCTGTGCCAGCCCTGTGTGTGCCACCCCAGCCCTCTGTGTGCCACCCCAGCCCTGTGCCAGCCCTCTGTGTGCCACCCCAGCCCTCTGTGTGCCACCCCAGCCCTCTGTGTGCCACCCCAGCCCTGTGCCAGCCCTCTGTGTCACACCCCAGCCCTGTCCCAGCCCTGTGCCAGCCCTCTGTGTGCCACCCCAGCCCTGTGCCAGCCCGTGCAGGGGCTCAGCACCATCCAGCCTGGCTCTGGGCACCTCCAGGGATGGGCAATCCTCAGGATCTCTGGGAAACAGAGAGGGTTTTCATCTATCAGCCTGGACTGGCAAAAATAAAATCTACCTTGCTGCACTGCTGTCCCCCAGGAAAGCTCCCTGGGCTGGCCTGGGCTCCTTGTTAACCCCACAAGGAACTCCCACCTCTGCACGGGGGAAAACCTGCTTAAACACAGGGGGATAAAAGCTCCTTAATGGGTGATTTTAGGTTTTTAATTACGAGGGGAAGCCCCTGATTAAGGGAATGAAGTGTCCAGGCAGAATTTCCCCTGGAACAACACCTGGAAGAGGAGCCTGTCACGTGGCCAGGGCAATTTGGTATTTTGTCCCCCTTTAGTCACAGCCCGGGCTGACACCCAGATCCATTTTCCTGACAGGACCCTTGATCACAGGCAGAAAATTGATCACCTCCAGCAGCTCTGGGTGCAGAACACAAGCTGTGGGGCCAGCAGGACAGAAACCAGGGGGGTTCAGCTGGGAAAACCCCAGCTGCACACAAACCAACCCTCAAAATGTCCATCCAGCAGAGCCCAGGGGGGCTGGAGCAGGCTGGGCAGGGGCAAAAATGCCCAAATTGCCGTGCTTTGCAGGCTGGGGAGATGGTGGAGCTGAGGCAGGGCTCAGGCTGCACGTGGCTGCCCAGCTCCCCTTAATTGGCTTTGCACAAAAATTAATTTCAGCCCAGCTCTGAATAAAAGGATTAAAGGCTGAGTGAGGTCTGCAGGTAATCTGGCAGAGGAATGGAGGGTGTGGGTGAAGGGGGGCTGCAGGAGCTGGGCACAGAGCCAGGAGCACACCCCAAAATCCAAGCTGACCCACAAAATCCCTGGAGAATCCTACACAGCACTTCCAGCAGGCTCAGCTCTGGGACTTACCCATATAAATAACCCTGGAAATACAGAAATGCTGCAAACGGAGATTCCACGTGGATAAATTAACACACACAGAGAGCTGTGAGGATTCTCTGCAGATAAATGAAAACACTGCCCGCTGACAGTGCCCACAAGGGAAATGCAGGAGAATGTTTAATAAATCCTGGCGCTGCTCCACGGCTGGGCACTGCCGGGGGCACAGCGCCCTCTGCCAGCCCCCCTGGAGGGAGCAGCACGGAATTCCTGCCTGGAAAGAGAATTTTGGGCATTTCCCCCTCACAGCCCGTCCCCTGTGATGTCTGCCATCGAAATTCAGTGCCAATCACCACTTCTAACAACAAACAGCACCATTGCTCTGGAGTATCTGCAGCTCTAAATCGGGAATAATTTCACAGCAGAGCTCTTGAAGTGCTGGGAGCTGTCATGCATTGGAAATTGCAACTTAATTCCTTTAATTGCAGGTAGAAGATGTGCTTTTCCACACAAAATGAGCATTTTTACAGCCATTCCCAGCTGGAATTTTGCTCCCTTTTAGGAGGGAATATTTCATTGTGCTGCAGCATGTGGGAACACAAAATGGGTGAGGATGCTGCAGGCTCTTCCAGGGAAAGGCAGAGACAAAATGGATCCTGAGCTGCTCACATGGGGAATATCAGGCACCTTTTAGCCAGCTTTTACAGCTCTGGGCCCACCCAGCAAAATCTCCCTCAGAGGGGACATTTAGGGGATGAGAATCTCATTTTAAAATGAGTTTATTGTGGAACCAAAATCAGAAATTCTACAAATTACACAATTCAAATAAGCCAATTACTCAAATTCCCAAATTCTGAGCACTGGAGCCAGGAGAATTTATGCCCAACTGGGAAAAAAACCCTGCTGTCCATGTGTGAATTATTAAAACCAAACATTTGGTCTATTTTTAGTTACCCAAAAAAACCTTTTAAACTAATTAAAAGGAGATTTGAGGACAGACCAGATTTCCTAAATAACTCCTGAAATGTTTAAGAGTGGAGTGTGTGAAGGATTTTCACCTAAATTGTTTCCCTTCCCTAAGTTCTGAGGTGCAAATGATCCTTTTAAGAAATGACCTCAATAATGCCAAGCTGGAAAAGATCCTACTGAGCAGCACACCAACAATCCCACCAAATGCTGGTCCACCAGAGAAAGAAACTGAGGTGAAGCTGTCCCAAAATCCTTATTTTCCCCTCTTTTCTCCTCAGTGTACCCCACTGAAGCCAAAATTCAGGATGCAGCCCCCTTGAACCAGCTCTCCCAGCAGAATAAAAGGTTTAGGGGACAGGTGTGAAGAATCACTGCGTTTCTGAAGGAGTGCTGCAGGCTGTGGGCAGCTTTGAGAGCTGGGCAGGGCAATGGAGGCACATTAATTACCTGGCGGTGCTAACGAGCTGAGGGCTCACCTGCTGCGATGTCATCGTCCACCAGGTCGGGCTCCTCCTCCTGCACTTTGGCTTCTGCTGCCGAGGGCTCCGGGGTGGCACTGGCACTCTGCAGGCCTTCTGTGGTCACCCCAGCTGCAGGACAAGCCCAGCATCAGCCACTGGGGACAGTCCCCTCGGGGCAGCAGCCAAACCCCATCCCACTCCTCCACGTCCTGCTTTGGTCCTGCTCAAGCCCATCCAGAAACAGCCACATTTGGTTTTTGTTTGGCTTTGCAGGTGTCCCAGGCACATCCTGGGCTGGTGGGAGGTGTCCCTGCCCGTTCCAGCCCAGAGCACTCAGGAGAAACATCAAATCCCCTCCATTTTCTGCTGCCACACCTCAGGTTTTCCCTTCAAAAGCAAACCACAGTTCACCCAAACCAAGGGAATCTCAGGAACAGAAGGCCCCACAGGTGATTTCTGGGCAGAAAGCAGCCAGAATAAAGAATATTTCTGTATCTTTCCTATGCTCCCCCCTCTCCTAGCAGAATACATTTGTTATATCCCAAATAATTCTTATTTCCTTCAACTCCTCCAACTCTGTACCCTTAATTCTAAGAGTTTCAACCCTTACCATAAAAACCCAATCCCAGTTGTTCCCAATCCCTTTCCTGGATGGATGACTGCAATGAGGGGTTCCCAATCCCTGTCCCAGGATCATGATTAGAATGAGAGGTTCCCAATCCCTTTCCAGCATGGATGACTGGAATGTGGGGTTCCCACGATGGATGACTGGAATGTGGGGTTCCCACGATGGATGACTGGAATGAGGGGTTCCCAATCCCTTCCCAGGATGATGACTGGAATGTGGGGTTCCCAATCCCCAATCCCAGTTGTTCCCAATCCCTTTCCTGGATGGATGACTGCAATGAGGGGTTCCCAATCCCTGTCCCAGGATCATGATTAGAATGAGAGGTTCCCAATCCCTTTCCAGCATGGATGACTGGAATGTGGGGTTCCCACGATGGATGACTGGAATGTGGGGTTCCCACGATGGATGACTGGAATGTGGGGTTCCCACGATGGATGACTGGAATGAGGGGTTCCCAATCCCTTCCCAGGATGATGACTGGAATGTGGGGTTCCCAATCCCCTTCCCAGCATGGATGACTGGAATGAGGGGTTCCCAGGATGAATGACTGCAATGAGGGTTCCCAATCCCATTCCCAGCATGATGACTGCAATGAGGGTTCCCAGGATGATGACTGCAATGAGGGTTCCCAGGATGATGACTGCAATGAGGGGGTCCCAGGATGATGACTGCAATGAGGGGGTCCCAATCCCATTCCCAGGATGATGACTGCAATGAGGGTTCCCAGCCCCTTTCCCAGGATGATGACTGCAATGAGGGGTTCCCAGCCCCTTTCCCAGGATGATGACTGCAATGAGGGTTCCCAGCCCCTTTCCCAGGATGATGACTGCAATGAGGGGGTCCCAGGATGATGACTGCAATGAGGGGGTCCCAGGATGATGACTGCAATGAGGGGGTCCCAGGATGATGACTGCAATGAGGGGGTCCCAGGATGATGACTGCAATGAGGGGGTCCCAGGATGATGACTGCAATGAGGGGGTCCCAGGATGATGACTGCAATGAGGGGGTCCCAATCCCCTCCCCAGCATGGATGACTGGAACGCTGGGTTCCCAGCCCTTTCCCCCCCGGTTTCCCAGCTGAGGGGCAGCTCCTCACGGGAGATGACGCTGTCCATGCACTGGGGCAGGTAGGGGGCCCAGGTGTCGATGGTCTCCTTGCGGCCCGCCTGCTCGATCCTGCGCAGCTCCGCCAGCAGCAGCGCCTGCGCCGCCTCGCGCACCTGCAGGACAGCACACAGAGCCCCAGGGTCAGGGCAGGGCACAGACACAGCCCCGGGGTCACAAACCACACAGGCACCAAGGTTTAGAGTCACTGCTCACAGGGTTAAACCGGGCTTTAACCAGAAACTATTCCAGCAGCAGCGCCTGCGCCGCCTCGCGCACCTGCAGGACAGCACACAGAGCCCCAGGGTCAGGGCAGGGCACAGACACAGCCCCGGGGTCACAAACCACACAGGCACCAAGGTTTAGAGTCACTGCTCACAGGGTTAAACCGGGCTTTAACCAGAAACTATTCCAGCAGCAGCGCCTGCGCCGCCTCGCGCACCTGCAGGACAGCACACAGAGCCCCAGGGTCAGGGCAGGGCACAGACACAGCCCCGGGGTCACAGCAGGACATAAACACAGCCCCAGGGTCACAAACCACCAAGGTTTAGAGCCAATCCTGACAGGGTTAAACCAGGCTTTAACTGGAAGCTCTTCCAGCAGGACTCTTGCGGCACAATGAGTTGTGTGTTCAGTTTTAGCTTTGGTGTTTTCCAGATTCTGTAACTCTGAACTTCATATGAGGAGTTAACAAGTTCTCTTCAGAGTTCAGTGACATAAAACAATCCTTTTCCAGCCCCAGCACCAAGGACCACTGCAGCTTCAGGCCCATAAAGTGCAAACAGGGAAGAGAGAAAAGCAAATTGGGAGGATGGGACTGCATAACCTGGAGCTGGATTGGACAATTAACCCTAATGTGGAAATGGACCAAAACTTAAAAAAGGGTGAAAACTCGTGACCTGGAGTCCAAGGTGTATCCATTGAGGCCTTTTAATAAATCCCTACTTTACTCTGTGCAGGCAGCCTCTCAAGGCATCAGAGGGTCACAACCACACAGACTTCATGCTGTTCCTCACGGGGTTAAGCTGGGCTTTAACCACAAAACACCCCCGAAGCACAAACAACAACAGCAGGCATTGACCTGGCTGTGCCTCCCGTGCAGGGGAACATGCAGCCCCTGCACGGCAGCACCCCAGCAGGCTGGGCTCACCTCCAGGCAGCGGTCCTGCCACCGGCGCGCCAGCATCTCCAGCAGCGGCGGCCGGAACTTCTCCAGCCCCAGCAGGTCGGGCAGCATCACGCAGTGCATGGCAGCCAGCTGGCTCCAGCCTGGAGGGGGCACAGGCAGTGAGGAAAACCCCAGAGCAGCTCCTGCCCCCACGGTGAGGCACAGCAAACCCACCCCTCCGAGGGCCGCGCGCCCCTCGGGGTCCCGGTGCAAACTGAGCGAGCACGGTTTGCTGCTGGCTCTCTGTTCCGCCTGAACCCTCATTTTTGTGATTCCCCTGCAGCTCTGTGTAGGTTAAAGCAGGAGAGAAACACAGGGTTCAAATGCTACAGTGGGTAAAAATATCCCATATGTCGGAATCAACAGCAGAACTCGGATTTAAGTGGTGTGAAACTTGATTAAAAGCCAACAGCGAAGCCTACCCCGGGTGCCCCGTGTTCAAAGAATTCCCTCAGAGATCAAACAAAAATAACAATGAGAAAGGATTCTGGCTGAAGGAAAGTAGAAAAGTGAGGAAGGAGTACCTTCGTTGACTAAGAAACAGGAATGGAAAGCAGAAGTGTCAGAGTGCCCAGATTCCGTGCTGGAAGCAGCAGCAACTTGCAGAGGAAAGGAGGAAGAAAAGAGAGAAAAAAAAGAGGGAAGTGAGGAGAGCAGCAGCAGAAAAGGGTTAGTGTCACTGCAGAATGGAAACAACAACTGAAATATTCAACTTAAAAACAATACTCAGCTCCAAAATCATATTCAACTCAAAATAACATCCAACTGAATGAGAATTCCAGGTTTTCCAAGAAGGGAGAGGCAGACATGCAGAGGAACATGGAGACACAGTGAGAGGAACTGGGATGTTTCGAAAAGACCAAAATACATCTAAATGAAGTGGTTTGAAATATGTTCTTAGGCAGGTGGCTTTGGTTTGACTTCACACTTGGCTGTAGGTTGGAAACCCAGGAATTGTGCTGCTTCTCCCTGTGCTTTTCCCATAGTTGTACTATGCACCAAAGGCCCAAAAAATAAACCTGAATCAGCCCGAGCTGCCCATCTGTCACTCCAAGATGTCCAGGATGAATTCCTGAGCTCTGGCTGGCATTTAACTTCATTTTAAATGGGTTTCACAGAAACTCTGGGATCATTCCCACAGAAACTCTGGGATCATTCCCACAGAAACCCTTTGGGATCATTCCCACAGAAACACTTTGGGATCATTCCCACAGAAACCCTTTGGGATCATTCCCACAGAAACACTCTGGGATCATTCCCACAGAAAGCCTTTGGGATGAGTCTGCAGAGCCTTCAGCTCCAGGCTTTAAAGCCCCCTCAAAGCCAGGACGTTTGGGAGCACTCGGAACAGGTAAAACTCTTGTCAGGGAATGATGTCAGGGCAGAACCAGCATTTTGTGTGGTTCTCAAACCACTCCTAGCCCCCAGTAACGCCACACCACTCTGTCCTCCCTGCAGTAATTTTCTCTCTCGACACCAAGTGTTAAACTCAGTGTAAGAGCTGCTGTGACAGCTCCAAGGGCTGCAAAAGAAAAAGTGCTTACCTTGTTTGATCTGCCCCTGTGCTGCATGGCTGGACACGGCAGGGGGAGGCTTCACCTTGGCCATCTCGGGCGTGCCCGGCCTGGGCGGCCTAAACACGAGACACATCCACGGAGAGCCAGCTCAGCCCCAGTGGGAGCAGGCAGAGCCCCAAACCCAGCCCCCGCGGGCCTGCCAAGGCCTGGCCATACCTGCTGGGCCCTTTCTTCATGTGCTCCCCGATGAAGGTGGCGTTGGTCATGCTCATCAGCGTGTTGGCCAGCGAGATGACGGACAGCAGGTGCTGCGTGGTGACGGCCCGTGACACGCCGTAGGTGCCCTTCCCCAGCCCCTCTGCCACTGGCACCTTCCCGCCCAGGCCCACGGGCTGGTTGTAGCCGGGCAGCATCAGGGACATGTGGGCGCCGCGCGACAGGAGCCCGAAGGACACGGAGCAGTGCGGCTTCAGCATGCCCAGGCGCTCCAGGCACAGCTCGTCCAGCACCGCGTTCAGGCCCCAGGCGTGCAGGCACGACATGAAGAGCTTGGCCGTGTCCATGGTCAGGTTGTACTCCAGCAGCGTCAGCGGCTTGGACTTGCTGGAGCGATACTCCGGGTCGCCGTCCTCCCTCCTGTGCCTCGAGGCCTCCTCATCCTCGTCCTCATCGTCCAGGAGGTGCTCCTTGATGTTCTCCTTGATGGTCTCCTTGACCTGCTGGAAGAGCACGGCGGCGCGCTTGCCGGCCAGGAAGGAGCCGGCGCGGTCGGCGGCGCCGGGCGCGCGGCGCGCGCTCTCCGGGGACGCGGGCGCCGCGCTGGGCCGCGCCGCCTCCTCCGTCAGCAGCTGGATGATCAGCGCCTCCACGTCGAAGAACAGCACGTGGATGTCGGGGTCCGTCAGGTTCGTCTTGATGGCCTGGACCGTCAGCGAGTTGTGGGAGTATTTCGGTAAGTTGCCCTGGGAAAGGAGAGGGCAAAGTGGAATTTCCAGCAGGGACAATGTGGGTGAGGCGGGTTTGAAACACGCCACAAAGCACAGGTGAGACACAAGCTCCTCCTGAAGCCTGTGAGGGTTATATTCCAAGCAACAGCAAAACTGTCATTTAGCTTAAAACACATTAAATGGCTCATATTTGGAGGGTGAACTATCAGTATATGGCACTGGAAAAGCAGCAGCTCAGATCCACCCAGACCTGCAATTACTGCACCACTTGGTCACTCCCCTTCAGCCCATCCTCTTCCTCCCTCCCTTCCAAGGAGGCAGGGAATGAAGGTGCTGAGGGAAAAAAGCTGAAGAACGTCAGAAAGGAACTGGAAACCAGAACATTCCCATCAGTTCCTAAGCATTCATCTCCCTCAGCCCTTCAGGATGTCACAAAGGGAAATGGAAACCAGAACATTCCCATCAGTTCCTAAGCATTCAGCTCAGACCCCTTCAGGATGTCAAAAAGGAAATGGAAACCAGAACATTCCCATCAGTTCCTAAGCATTCAGCTCCCTAAGCCCTTCCCTCCCAGCACCTCACAGGATGAGGAGCCCACAGATAAAACCCTGCAGGTACAAATGCAACATTCCAGCTGTGCCTGGATGCAGCAGGAGCAGCAGCACAAACCCTGAGCAGACATTTTTTTGTGGAGACATGCTGGTGGTGATTTCTCTCCCAACAAATGCAACGTTCCCAGCTGTGCCTGGATGCAGCAGGAGCAGCAGCAGCAGCAAGCCATTTTTTCACGGAGACATGCAGTGGTGATGTCTCTCCCTACAGCAGGCAAAGCCAGGAATGCACGGGAGGAGCTGGGAACGGAGCTGTGCTGCTCTCTGCTGGCCACAGGCTGGCACTGGAACAGCTCCTCATGGAACGGGCTGTCCCAACCCAGGGCAGGGCTGCAGACCCCATCCCTGGGGGATTTAAAGCCCTGTGGATGTGGCACTTGGGACAGTGCTGGACTTGATTTCAGAGGGTTTTCCCAGCCTAAAGCACTGCATGATTCTGTAACTCAACCTGCATAGAACAAAAGAGCAGGATACACTGAGTGGCACCAGCCACACAAACTGGGGAAGAGCCATGTTTATGTTCTGGAGAGCTCTGGCTGAGAACCTTTCGGCAGAAGGACAGACACCTCCGCCCTGTCCCTTCCTGCTGGCAGCACAGCAGCCCCACCTTGTCCGAGGCCTCGGAGGCCAGCAGGTTGGTGGCCAGCGTCTGCAGCTTCTGGTGGGCCACGTTCTTGAGGGCGGCCAGGCTGCGGCGCGTCATGGCCTGCTTCAGGTTGACGGCGGGGTGGCTGAGCGCGTCCACGGCGGCCGGCACGGCCTCGTCGCACGCGCTGAGGATCTCCACGGCCGTGATGCCCATCACGCAGCGGTCCAGGGCGCCTGCAGGGCACGGGGACGGCTCAGTGCCACGGGGGCACGGGGATGGCTCAGTGCCACGGGGGCACGGGGATGGCTCAGTGCCCCCCTGGCATGGGGACAGCTCAGTGCCCTGGGGGCACGGGGACGGCTCAGTGCCACGGGGGCACGGGGATGGCTCAGAGCTACAGGGGCACGGGGATGGCTCAGTGCCACGGGGGCACGGGGATGGCTCAGTGCCATGGGGGCATGGGGATGGCTCAGTGCCCTGCAGGGGCACGGGGATGGCTCAGTGCCACGGGGGCACGGGGATGGCTCAGAGCCACGGGGGCACGGGGACGGCTCAGTGCCCTGCAGGGGCACGGGGACGGCTCAGTGCCCCCCTGGCACAGGGACAGCTCAGTGCCCCCTGGCACAGGGACAGGTCAGTGCCACAGGGGCACAGGGACAGCTCAGTGCCATGGGGGCACGGGGATGGCTCAGAGCCACGGGGGCACGGGGACAGGTCAGTGCCCCCCGGGCACGGGGACAGCTCAGTGCCCCCCTGCCCCTGTGGCACGGGGACAGCTCAGTGCCCCCCGGGCACAGGGACAGCTCAGTGCCCCGATGGCACAGGGACAGCTCAGTGCCCCTGTGGCACCTGGCTGGCACTCCTAGCTCCTGGAAGGAGGGGATTTTCCCTACGCCCCCATGAGGTTCACAAACCCCCCAGGGTGACTCTGTACCAAACACACAGAGCAGTAAGCTCTGCAGAGTGTTTGAATTCTCTGCAGAGTGTTTGAACAACTTCCTGAAGGGTGGCTGTGGTGAGCTGGGGGTCGGTCTCTTTCTCCGGGCAACAACAGACAGAACAAGAGGACACAGTCTCAAGCTGCGCCAAGGGAGATACAGGTTAGACCTAAGGAGGAAGTTTTTCACAGGAAGAGTGGTCAAACACTGGAATCATCTGCCCAGGGAGGTGGTAGAGTCACCATCCCTGGATGTGTTTAAAAGGAGACTGGATGTGGCACTTGGTGCCATGACCTAGTTGAGGTATAGGATAGGATGGGTTGGACTCGATGATCTTGAAGGTCTCTTCCAACCTAGAAATTCTGTGATTCTGTGAATTCTCTGCAGAGTGTTGAATTCTCTGCAGAGTGTCTGCATTCTCCCTCAGGGCAGATGTGCACCCCCCCGACGGGCTCCCCACACCGAGCTCACCGGTGTCCATCTGCCAGACGTACACGGAGCCGTCGGAGCAGCCCACCACCAGGTAGTCATCGGACGGCCTCCACTTGATCACCTGGATTGGGAAGAGGTGCCGGGAGGCCAGCATGATGCACTTCTTCTCCCTGAGGCTCAGCAGACCCACGGAGTGATCGCTGGCAACAGAGCAAACGCAGTGCTGGACTCTGGCCTAGTGCAGGAAGAAAGAGAAAAAGCTTAGTCATAATTCAGAGTTAGTATTAAAAACATTTCCCCTGCTGGGAAATGGCCAAAAGCCTCTTTAATGCACAAAACTCAGGCACCTACATCCATGCTCAAACTCACTGAGGTCACTGGCAACAGAATTCCCTGATCAGAAATTCCCTTTGCACATCACAAAGAGAAAATGGGTATTAAATGGGTAAGCAAACCCCAGAGTTTTCAATCAACGACTTTGTCAATCAATGAGCTAAGTTTCAAAAGGCAAAACTGTCTCTAAACCCTATTGCAATAGGTTTAATAAAGCCCCTATTTTTCCACCTTTACAGAATTAAAGCATGGTGTTAGAAACCATAAATTACAGAAAAATGAAGCTCTTTTTTGTGCAGGAGCTGGGTCAATGACACATCCCCTGGATTCCCTTTCTGAAGGAGCACTGAGGTGCTGGAAGGGTTTATCCCAGAGAACTCACACTGCAGTTTTCTGGTGGAACCAGCAGCTGGGTGATCTCTCCGCCGTGCACACAGAAGATGTGTTTCATCTCTCCCGAGAAGATATCCCAGATGATGACGGAGAAATCCACCCCCCCTGAGATGAGGTACCTCTGGTCGTAGCGGGAGGACACCTGGTGAGGGTACAGCAAGCACGTCACCTTGTTCCGGTGGCCTCGCAGCGTCCGGTGCGGGGGCCAGCCTGGGGGAAAGAGAGGAAAACAGGAATTCACCAGACAATCCACTCCCAGGAGTTCGTCCTGCAACGCAGAGCCCCAAACCACCAATATCATGTTACATGGAACCCACAAACCCAACAGCAGCCCAAGCACAGCACACGGGTCCCACCAGGAACCCTGGCAGGTTTTTCCCACTGAGACTTCTACTGGCACGCCAGCAGTGCCAGGAGCAATCCTGGACAAGACAGGAGAAGCTCCCTTGCCTTATCTTGGGATATCCTTGGGATGCTCCTGCACCCCAAAACACCCAAAATGACCTCGCTGAGTGAACAGCTGAAGGCACTGCCAGCACAGAGAGATGCTGCAGGTTTGTGGGGTTCCTGCTGCTCCAGGAACAATCCTGGACAAGACAGGAGTGCTCCCTTGCCTTATCTTTGCTAACGCATCCCAAAACACCCAAAATGACCTCATTGAGTGAACAGCTGAAGGAATGCCAGCACAGAGTGATGCTGCAGATTTCTGGGGTTCCTGCTCCCTGTGCTGTATCTTGGTGCTCCCCTTGCAGCAGCTGCACGATGGCAGCAGGTTTGTGGGGTTCCTGCTGCTCCCTGTGCTGCACCTTGGTGCTCCCCCTGCAGCAGCTGCACGATGGCAGCAGGTTTGTGGGGTTCCTGCTGCTCCCTGTGCTGCCCCTTGGTGCTCCCCCTGCAGCAGCTGCACGATGGCAGCAGGTTTGTGGGGTTCCTGCTGCTCCCTGTGCTGCCCCTTGGTGCTCCCCCTGCAGCAGCTGCACGATGGCAGCAGGTTTGTGGGGTTCCTGCTGCTCCCTGTGCTGCCCCTTGGTGCTCCCCCTGCAGCAGCTGCACGATGGCAGCAGGTTTGTGGGGTTCCTGCTGCTCCCTGTGCTGCCCCTTGGTGCTCCCCCTGCAGCAGCTGCACGATGGCAGCAGGTTTGTGGGGTTCCTGCTGCTCCCTGTGCTGCCCCTTGGTGCTCCCCCTGCAGCAGCTGCACGATGGCAGCAGGTTTGTGGGGTTCCTGCTGCTCCCTGTGCTGCCCCTTGGTGCTCCCCCTGCAGCAGCTGCACGATGGCAGCAGGTTTGTGGGGTTCCTGCTGCTCCCTGTGCTGCCCCTTGGTGCTCCCCCTGCAGCAGCTGCACGATGGCAGCAGGTTTGTGGGGTTCCTGCTGCTCCCTGTGCTGCCCCTTGGTGCTCCCCCTGCAGCAGCTGCACGATGGCAGCAGGTTTGTGGGGTTCCTGCTGCTCCCTGTGCTGCCCCTTGGTGCTCCCCCTGCAGCAGCTGCACGATGGCAGCAGGTTTGTGGGGTTCCTGCTGCTCCCTGTGCTGCCCCTTGGTGCTCCCCCTGCAGCAGCTGCACGATGGCAGCAGGTTTGTGGGGTTCCTGCTGCTCCCTGTGCTGCCCCTTGGTGCTCCCCCTGCAGCAGCTGCACGATGGCAGCAGGTTTGTGGGGTTCCTGCTGCTCCCTGTGCTGCCCCTTGGTGCTCCCCCTGCAGCAGCTGCACGATGGCAGCAGGTTTGTGGGGTTCCTGCTGCTCCCTGTGCTGCCCCTTGGTGCTCCCCCTGCAGCAGCTGCACGATGGCAGTCTGCGTGGCCGGCACGATGACGATGCTGCCGTCCTCGCGGCCGCAGGCCAGCCGCCCGTGGGCCGGCATGTAGACGCTGGCGGTGACGCGCAGCGGCTCGCTGGCGTTGGCCACCATGCTCAGCTGGTCGATGATGCCCGCGGGCCGTGGGCTCAGCTGGTCAAAGGCCTCCTGCAGGGACCTGGACGTGGCTGTCTGCAGGCCTGGGGGAGAGGGGAAACGCCAGGGCTGAGCTGGAATTGGAGTTTAAGGTCTCCCCAACCCACCGAGGGATTCTCTGCTGGGAATGAAGTCACCACAAGGATGACGCTAATTAAGATTTTGGTAAGATGAAGGCACTACAACTCCTGCAAGGAGGTAACAATTAACCCCACTCCATGGGAGAACCAGCACGGATTTATCAGCACAAGCACAGGAAGATGTGGCCATGAACCAGGCACCTTTTGCACCCTCCTGCTGCTCCAGGGCGTCGGGCACGCTCCAGATGCACAGCCTCCCCGAGGAGTCCCCTTGGATCAACAGCCTGTAGGGAAACTCCCTCTGGCCGCAGAAGAAGCGAGTCACTGGAGGACAAATCAGGAGCTGTTGGAGAGAGAAGGAACAACCTCAGGCCACGCACACAGCACGTGCCCAGCCCCAGGCTGCCTGCCTTCCAAAGCAGGACAGAACCCAGCACAGCCCCCCAAAAAGCTCCAGAGACGCACCTGCTTCTCTGCTCTGTCCAGCACGCTGTACAGCAAAGGAGGAATCAAGTTCTCCACTGCCTTCCCCACGTCCCTGCGGAACGAGTCACTGGCTGGGAGGCAGCTGGGGGCAGCAACAAAGAGAGGAGATGATGAATTTATAATCATGGAGTTCCTTGCATTTACAGAGTGATTCCTACAGCAGGACTCGGCTGCTGCTCCCACCCTCATGCTCTGATGAGGGGAGGGCAAGGAAGGAGCTCCCACATGATTTATGGGGGAATATTCAAGATAAAACTCTCTCTCTACCCAGAACAAACAAATCTGCACACCATAAAGCTGTCAGAAAGAAAGTCTGTGATTTTACACTCGTCATTTTTAACCTCTTTGATGCCAAATTTTGAATTCATTTTATAGCTTTACATTTAAATGTCTTCCCTTACTGGACCGATATTTCAGTAGTTCTTCAAGAAATTCAATTCAAATCAATCAAAAACTAAATAAAGTGGGTATTTTTCTGTTGAGTACCTGGCTGGTAACTTATAGATGAAACTTTGTCCATCCTCTGTCCACACAATCACTTTATCAGCTGCCACAAAGTCCCCACCAGTCCAGGTCTGCTCATTCTCACTGGGCACTGAACATAAGAGGGAATAATCTCCAGCATCAAAGACCTGAGAGGAAACAGGAACAAAGGCTGTTGTTATTAACCAATTAACACATTAAAATGCCCAAGGTTGGGTTCAGTATCGCAGCATCATGGAATGGTTTGGGCTGGACCTTAAGGGCCATCTTGTTCCAAACCTGCGCCGCGGGCAGAGATTTGGATTAAATATCTAGAAATACATTAAATTGTGTGTATTTACATTAAAAACATGCATATTTCAATGCAGAGGTAGACTGGGAGTGCCTGCACCTGGATGTTTCCACGTGGTTTAGGCGAGGTTGCTGAGGGAGGAGGCCCCAGCTCGTGCCTTACCCTCCAGTACTTGGAGCACACGAGCAGGAGCGAGCGCTGCGTGAAGGTGCAGAAGGAAATGCTCTGGCAGTTCTCGCAGTAGATGGGCTTGGACTCCTCCTCAAACACCGGCGTGGTGTCCTGAGCAAACACAAGAGCTCTCAGCCCCCTGCTCCCTGCTCCCACGGCGCTCAGCAGCGTGCCAGGGCCCTCCTGGGCTCATTTCTGGGAAAACCCAAACCCCGGAGCGGGTTTGACTCCAAGCTCTCCTAGCAGGTCTGCAGGAGCACCTGGGGTCCTCTCTGGGCACTGGAGTCCCCAGGCTCCCTGGCAGCACAGACTGGTGCTGCTCACCTTGCAGGAAGCTGGAGCCAAGCAGATTCCACTCCCAAAGAGAAAGTGATTTTTCCTTAATTGATAAATGTATTTTACAAGAGGTTTCTGTGAGACCTGCCCTGAGACCTGGGGCAAATCTCCTTTTATTCATTAGTACCCAAGAAATGCCAAAGGACAGGGAGCTGGAGATAATCCCATATAATGAATATTCCTAAAAATGGTACGGTCTGCTCAGCACAATATTAACCCAAATCACTATACGGTACGAATTAAAAAAAAAAGAGTTGGAAAAACTGGAAATCGGTTCTCTGAGAAGTATTAGGAATTCTGGTGGCCACTTAAATCAGTAAAGGAGAATTCAGTCAGTTATTTTGCACTGGCAAAGGGGAAAATATCAGCAGCAGAATATGAGGAACAGACCCCTCCACCCCACTAACCCAGCAGGCTGTGCCTACCTGCATGCGACTGACTTCCGAGGTGATGATCCAGACCTTCAGGATGCCAGTCACGGACACAGCCACCACAGTGTCCTCTGGGAACACAAAATGAGCCTGAGGCACAGAGCTCCTCACCTGTGCACATCTGACACAAATGAAACCCTGACCCCAGCATTCCCGGAGCGTTCGCTTCCAAATGGATGTTAGTGTGAGGATGGAACAAGGAATAAGTGAAAGGCACCAGCAGGAAAGCCTTCCAGATTGCAGTTGTGCCAGCAATTTATTTGTTGTGGGGATAAGAGCTGAGCTTTCCCACGCCAGGATTTTGGGAATGCCCAGTTTACAACTGTCACACAAGAGAGAAGTCCTTTAGTCAGGATGTTCTCCTCAGTTTCCCCAAACCTCTCAGGAATTCCAGTCTCCACAACAGGAACACTTGTCTGCCAGGAACTGAATCAACACCAGTGAGCAGAACCAGCCCAGGCCGTGCTCAGGTGGCACTCCAGCCCGTGCCAGCAGGATTCCCAGAGGAGCTGTGCTGCCCCTGGACCCCTGGCAGTGCCCGAGGCCAGGCTGGCAGGGCTGGGAGCAGCTGGCACAGTGGAAGTGTCCCTGCCACCACAAACAATCACCTTGCGTCCTGTTGGAGCGGATGATGGCCATGGAGCTGATCCAGTCGGGAGAGATCTTGGATATCAGCGAGTAAAGCACCTCCAGGCTGGTTGCATCCACCACCAGGATTTCAGGATAATGCCCGTGGCACAGGAGCCGCCCTTCCCGCTGCGTGCCGACCGTGAACTGATAGAACTGCGGGGTGGGAGCAGGCCGAGCTCAGAGCCCAGCAGGACGGGCACGGAGCCCTGCTGGCCCCGGGGAGCCCCTCCCAGCCCCGCTGTGCTGTGCCAGCGCTCACCTGGATGCCCGTGTGTGCACACGCCAGCTTGGTGAACTCGATGCAGCGCCCGTCGTTCACATCCCACAGGCACATCTCCCTGGAACACAGGGCACCCATGGGAAACAGGCTGCATCGCACCCCGCACACCAGGGAGCCTCACTTGGGCTGGATTGGGGCACGTGTGTTTAGAGAAACCCAAAATCAGCCGGGCTTTCCAGCCCTCCTAAACCCACACAACCTCCTGCTCCCTACTACACAACCCGCAGGTTTGTAATATTACACACAAATGAGCAGCTATCCCCCCCTTCACAGTGCTTTTTCATTTAAAACTTCAAACTTCATCAGAACAGAATCTGTGAGGTGTTTTCTCCTTTCCCTCATACAGATAAATTCCTGAGGAAAAAACACATTTTGGTTTTAAACCCAATGGGAGGAGATGACTTAGTCCTGAAGGTGGAAACTCTAAATTTTGACACATTCTCCCCTCAAATTCCTTGCTAAAAGGTTATTTAGGCAAATAATTCCTTAGTTTTTGTGGATAAAAAATCTCTGTCTATTTGGAGTTCAATTGCACAAGAAATCCTTCCTGCTTCTACCACTTAACTGCTGCTCTCTGATTAATAAATAAAACCAATCAAAAAGTAAAATGTATTTGCTGAGGAATTTTCTCTTGAGGATAAAAATCAAACACAGCATTGAATATATGGAGAAACTGGGCACAAATTGCCATTATTGCAGTTCTGTACATAATAAACACTTAGAAACTCACCCACTCTCTGATGCACTCACTATATATTGCTTTTCACTGGAAGCTGAGGCCTTGGACAAACAAGTAACTGAGGCTGTATGACCAAAGAGCAGAGCTCTGGGATTGATCTGGGAGGAAGGAAAGAAAACAGGGAGCCAAAATCACACAGATGACCGGAATATCCATATCCCAGCTTTCTACTTCATGTGTTATATCTGCATTAATATGTGCACACAGGTTTAATTAACACAGCAGTGGATGCATCATCTCGGAAGACTTTCTGCTTCACACAGGAATAAGAATTTTTGGGGAAAAAGCATTTTGCAAACTCCTCTCAATACAAATCAGGAGCTGAATTTGGCTCAATTCAATTTAAATTGAGTTTGGCTGAATGAAAAAGATTGTGCTGCACATTAAGAGCTTCCCCACAAAATAAGGGGAGACTTCAGACCCCCTTCCAGTGCCAAAAGGGGCTCCAAGAGAGCAGGGAATGGAGTTCCAGGAAAAGGGGGAATATCCAGATGGGAGATTGGGAAGGAACTCCTTTTCACAGCACAATATTAAAGAGCTCAACCATAAAACAACTGCTTTACAGTAGCTCCAAGAGACTGGATTGAGTTTTAGAAGCTTCCTAGAGGAGCAGCAAGGAAGCCCAAGAGCCACAAGAGCTCTGCCAGCGCTGTGGGCAGGGCGGAGCAGCCGCCTGAGCGTGGCGAGAGGCAGGACAGGCCGAGGGGATGCCTCCATTACCTGCAGGTCGGGACCCAGGTCCCAGAGGCAGATCTGCCCGTCGTGGCAGCCGGTGACGATGACGGAGCCATCCACGAGCAGCAGGGAGGACACGCAGTGGGTCGGGGCGCGCCGGCCCCACAGCACGATGGGCAGCACCAGGCTGTTCCCGGCCATGGCCGCCGAGCGCCTGCAATCCCGACAGCGCAGCAACGTCAGCCACCTCCCGGCCTGCCCCCTTCCCTCGTGTCTTTGCCATCTTTGCCCCCCATGTTTCTACCATCTTGTCCCCTCCTGTCTCTGCCGTTCTGTCCCCTCATGGTTCCTGCCCTTTTTTCCCCTCGGGTTTCCCGCTATTTTCCCTTCATGTTTCCTGCCCTTTTAGCTGTCTTTTCCCCTCATGTTTCCTGCTCTTTTTCCCTTATGTTTTTGCTTTTTCTGTCACATTTCCTGCTCTTTTCCCCTCATGTTTCCTACTCTTTTTCCCTCACGTTTTTGCCATATTTTCCCTTCACGTTTCCCACCCTTTTCCCCTCAGGTTTCCCGCCGTTTTCCCCTCACGTTTTTCCCATTTCCCCCCCTCATGTTTCCTGCTCTTTTCCCCTCATGTTTTTGCAATCTTTTCCCCTCACATTTCCTGCTCTTTTATCCTCGTTTCCTGCTCTTTCCCCCTCAAGTTTCCTGCTCTTTTCCCCTCACATTTCCTACTCTTTTTCCCTCATGTTTTTGCCATCCTTTCCCCTCATGTTTCCCACCCTTTCCCCTTCATGTTTTTCTGTCTTTTCCCCTCACCTTTCCTGCTCTTTTCCCCTCATGTTTTCTACTCTTTTTCCCTCATGTTTTGCCATCTTTTGCCCTCACATTTCCTGCTTTTTCCCTCATTTTTTGTCATCTTTTCCCCTCATATTTCCTGCACTTTTCCCCCTCATGTTTCCTGCTCTTTTCCCCTCATATTTTTGCCATCTTTTTCCCTCACGTTTCCTCTCTTTTTCCCTCACGTTTTTGCCATCTTCTCCCCTCACATTTCCTGCTCTTTTCCCCCTCATGTTATTGCCATCTTTTCCCCTCATGTTTCCAGCCCTTTTCCCCTCATCTTTCCTGCTCTTTTCCCCCTCATGTTTCCTGCCCTTTTCCCCTCATGTTTCCTGCCCTTTTCCCCTCATGTTTCCTGCCCTTTTCCCCTCATGTTTCCTGCCCTTTTCCCCTCATGTTTCCTGCCCTTTTCCCCTCATGTTTCCTGCCCTTTTCCCCTCATGTTTCCTGCCCTTTTCCCCTCATGTTTCCTGCCCTTTTCCCCTCATGTTTCCTGCCCTTTTCCCCTCATGTTTCCTGCCCTTTTCCCCTCATGTTTCCTGCCCTTTTCCCCTCATGTTTCCTGCCCTTTTCCCCTCATGTTTCCTGCCCTTTTCCCCTCATGTTTCCTGCCCTTTTCCCCTCATGTTTCCCACCCTTTTCCCCTCATGTTTTTCTATCCTTTCCCCTCATGTTTCCAGCCCTTTTCCCCTCACCTTTCCTGCTCTTTTTCCCCTCATGTTTTCTACTCTTTTCCCCTCATGTTTCCTGCCCTTTTCCCCTCATGTTTCCCACCCTTTCCCCCTCATGTTTCCCACCCTTTCCCCCTCATGTTTCCCACCCTTTCCCCCTCATGTTTCCCACCCTTTCCCCCTCATGTTTCCCACCCTTTCCCCCTCATGTTTCCCACCCTTTCCCCCTCATGTTTCCCACCCTTTCCCCCTCATGTTTCCCACCCTTTCCCCCTCATGTTTCCCACCCTTTTCCCCTCAGGTTTCCCGCCGTTTTCCCCTCACGTTTTTCCCATTTCCCCCCCTCATGTTTCCTGCTCTTTTCCCCTCATGTTTTTGCAATCTTTTCCCCTCACATTTCCTGCTCTTTTATCCTCGTTTCCTGCTCTTTCCCCCTCAAGTTTCCTGCTCTTTTCCCCTCACATTTCCTACTCTTTTTCCCTCATGTTTTTGCCATCCTTTCCCCTCATGTTTCCCACCCTTTCCCCTTCATGTTTTTCTGTCTTTTCCCCTCACCTTTCCTGCTCTTTTCCCCTCATGTTTTCTACTCTTTTTCCCTCATGTTTTGCCATCTTTTGCCCTCACATTTCCTGCTTTTTCCCTCATTTTTTGTCATCTTTTCCCCTCATATTTCCTGCACTTTTCCCCCTCATGTTTCCTGCTCTTTTCCCCTCATATTTTTGCCATCTTTTTCCCTCACGTTTCCTCTCTTTTTCCCTCACGTTTTTGCCATCTTCTCCCCTCACATTTCCTGCTCTTTTCCCCCTCATGTTATTGCCATCTTTTCCCCTCATGTTTCCAGCCCTTTTCCCCTCATCTTTCCTGCTCTTTCTCCCCTCATGTTTTCTACTCTTTTCCCCTCATGTTTCCTGCCCTTTTCCCCTCATGTTTCCCACCCTTTCCCCCTCATGTTTCCCACCCTTTTCCCCTCATGTTTTTCTATCCTTTCCCCTCATGTTTCCTGCCCTTTTCCCCTCATGTTTCCCACCCTTTCCCCCTCATGTTTCCCACCCTTTTCCCCTCATGTTTTTCTATCCTTTCCCCTCATGTTTCCTGCCCTTTTCCCCTCATGTTTCCCACCCTTTCCCCCTCATGTTTCCCACCCTTTTCCCCTCATGTTTTTCTATCCTTTCCCCTCATGTTTCCTGCCCTTTTCCCCTCATGTTTCCCACCCTTTCCCCCTCATGTTTCCCACCCTTTTCCCCTCATGTTTTTCTATCCTTTCCCCTCATGTTTCCTGCCCTTTTCCCCTCATGTTTCTGCCATCTTTTCCCTCATGTTTCTACCATCTTGTCCCCTCCGGTCTCTGCTGTTCTGTCCCCTCATGGTTCCTGCCATTTTCCCCTCACATTTGGGAGGTCCCAGGATGCAGCAGATGGGGTGCAGCAGACAGACAGACAGACAGACAGAACCCCCAGGTATGAAGCAACGGTGCTGTTTATTTACATTATGGGGGTGGGAGGGAAGGCTGCAGTCCCCCAAAATCCAAAATATTATCCTTCAAACCAAGAGGGAGGGGAGTAAAAGGTCAGGGCCAAACAGCACATCCTTGTGCACACAAGGATTTTTGCCCAAATCCCTCTTCTTAGAGTAATTGTGAAGTTACCAATGTTTTAAGCCCTGAGGCTGAAGCAGTTTTTATACCCCTGATGTTATTATGTCCCTGCTACACAGACACATTCATGTTGGAATATGGAATATCCTGCCTCAGGTGAAATCAGCCTTGTATAATGCACTGGATCCTGGCCACTCTCCAGCAGGAAATAGGCCCAGCACTATCTTTACAGCAACCTTTTGGATATTCTGAACATATTGACACAAAAAACACAGTGGAATTTCGATTGTCCCTGGGCCAAAAAGGCCTCAATAACTGGGAATAGAAACTCAAGTTGTGGCAATAAAACCCACTTGAATTTGCACAAGATTTAAACCCCACAACAACCCTCTGTTTGTGGTAGCAACATTCCCTGCTTGCCCAGCACTTCCATGCTTTTAGAACTGAGGTTTTCTTATCGGTGAAAAGGTCGGGTTAAATTAATAACCAAACACTCCTTGTGGGTTATCTTGTGGAGGTTTATGCTCTGAACTCGCCCCAGTTCAAAGCAGAGCTCTGATTTAGAGGAGCAAACCACACCTGGCCCTGCAGAGTTAATTGTTATGCAATGCTGGATCAATTGCTCTGTCTGGAGCATCACAGCACAGAAAGAGAAATTAATTCAGCATTTTAAACAAACAAAGAGCTACGATTAAACCAGGCTTGATTTGCAGGGAAATCATCATAAAAACGGAATAAAGTGTCCAGATGCAACAGAACAAAATGCAAATATCAACAACAAGACCAAAACCACCCACAGCAAACAGAAATACCCTCTCAATTTCTGTGAGGAAGCAAACCAAAAATGACTAAAGCAGAGCTGAAAAACACCGATGAGCAACACAAAAATCCCCTCCCACTCCCCTGCTGTCCCACTGCTCCCAGTCCAGGGAACAAGCCAAGCGTTCCTGTGTCACCGAGCTGTCAAAAGCAGCTGCATTTTTTAATAAACACAGCAAATCCCCTGCTGGAGATCTGCACTTAACAATTCTGCATTTAGAGCCACTTCCAAACCCAGCCCGCTCTGAATAAAGGGAATTTACAGGAACATACAGGAGGATATTGCAACACAACATCAGCACACAGCCAACCCTAAGGGATCCCAGATTTTCCATGCACCTTATCAACCCCCTGACAGCCCCATCAGTGCTCAGAGTATTTCATGGCAAGGCTCTGGGAGAGAGAGGAAAAATCAAAACTACCTCTTTCCTTCCAGTTTTTGACTACGGCAGCGCAAGGCCTTCGTGCAAAACCTCCTTTTGAGGAAAAGCCACATTTTAATTCCCCGGGAATTCGGATTGCAGAGCCCCTGCCAGCACCAAAATCCCTTTTGGTCCGAAATGGGTCAATAATTCCACGTTTCTGACATCAGTGCTGAGGAGCAAATCAGCACTGGGCCCAAAAGCAGGCAGGGAATCACCCCTCAGCAATTCCCACCTTGCAGCCCCTCAGACCTGCCCCAATCCCTCGGCTTCCTCAGAAAAGGGAACTTGGAAACAGAAAATGGAGATGCCACGAGGGCAGCTCCTCCTGTTCACACTTCTGTCCTCCCAAAGCACAAAGATTATTCTGTTTTTCCATGCACACACACATCTATCTCACCATTTCCTTTACTTAAAATTTTCTAACACAAAACCTTGCCAATAACAACAAATACTGAAGAAATAATTCTAATCTTAGACACACAACAAATGCAGGGAAACACCTTCCCAAAGCCAGGATTTTTACAATATTTCAACAGAAATAAAATATTTAAACGAGGAAATGACCCCAAGGATGTGTTAGGGTGCCAGAACAATCCAGTGACCCTTTGAACGGCCCTGCCTGCAGGTGGGATTCAGGCCCAGGTAATAATCCCGGCTCAATTCCTATTTCAGTAAAGCCCCCAACCCCTTTCCAGTGCAAGGTATTAAACACTGAGTCCAAGACTCAACCCATTTCAACGAGCTGTCTACCAGAAACCCACCGGGTGGATTCTTACAGCCACAAAAACCCCCGGACAGAACAAAGGAAGAGGTAAACCAAAAGTAACTCCCTCCCAAACACTTGTATGTCCACTCAGGACAGAATTAATCCCAGGATATGCGTGCACACTGCAAAAATCAGCCCCCAAAATGCTAATAAATAGCACTAAATAATGTTCAATACAGCTGTGAATTGATGCATTTTAGGAAAACCTCATTATTTAAATTTAATGGCACATTAGACGTTGTAGCTGTCACTCAGGGATGGGGAGAAGGGACCACGGACAGAGGGGAATAAATGAGAACACCTTCCCCGGGCATGCAGGAGCGTCCAAACCCACACAGGGAGCAAAGCGCTAATTTGGGACCGGAGGCTGGCGTTAATTAACGCCTCTGGAAGCCTCCAAACTGTCCCAAAGGACAGTTATCCAAGGGACAGTTATCCAAAGGACAGTTATCCAAAGCGCTCCCAATCCCAGCCCTGGCTGCCAAGAGCACCGCGCAAAGGGAAACGAACCCGGGGGAGGCTGCGAGGCACAAAAGCTCGGCACTAAAAGGTGTTCAAGCCCCTAGAGCATCCATTCCTGTGGCAGCGATGGAAACCCCATCCTTTACCAACCCTGACGAGCTCCAAACCCCGTCCTGCTCCCCGGGCTACCGGGGCTCCCTGGGCTGCGGCCCGGCCGAGCCTCGGTGCCGGAGCGCGCGGCTCCCGCGCCTCCCGCTGCCGCCGTGCCGCCCCGCTCCGCGGGCGCACCTGCTCGGTGCCGGTG